GAATGGAGAGAGAGAGAGAGAGAGAGAGAGAGAGAGAGAGAGACTCATCCCTCACCGCAGGAAGACTCTTAGCAGGTGCACCTCACAACCACCACCACACCTGTCGGGTTTAATCTCAGAGGGGAGAGTGAGGGTGAAGAGGGTGGTGGGAGGGTGAGTGGTGGGAGGTGAGGGTTAAGGGAGGTGTGAGGGTGAAGGGAGGTGAGGGTGAAGAGGAGTGAAGGTGGAGGGAGGGTGAAGGTGGAGGAGGGGTGAAGAGGAGGTGGGGGAAGAGTGAGGTGGAGGGAAGAGTGAGGTGGAGGGAAAGGAGTGGAGGGAAGGGTGAGGGTGGAGGGTGGTGGAGGGAGGTGAGGTAGAGTGAGGTGAAGAGGAGGCGAGGGAGGAGGAATTACAGGCGGCAACTTATTCACCTTACTTTGTCAATAACCTGTTTCTCTTCCCTCACCTAACATATCTCCCCCCACCCTACTCCCCCTCTTCACCCAATACTGCCCACCTCACCTCCTCTTCACCCCCAAATTCCTCCTCTCCTCCCCACCCCATCAACAACCTCCAGTTCCTCCCCAGCCTCGGCCAGGGCAGGGAGGAGAGGTAGGCCAGATCTGGAAGCAACAACCGCACAAGTTCAATAATAAATCTTAACACAGAAGTTTGTTGAACTGTGCAACGACTAACACACACACACACACACACACACACACACACACACCACGTGACTCAGGGTTCAGTGGGCAACACCGCACCAGACTACTCATCGCTCCAAGGCACCCTGGACAGGCTACAGACATGGACTACGGAGAACAAGGTCACCATCAACCACACCAAAACCGTAGTCATGCACATCAATACCGCCACCACTCCAGTGCAAGCCCCAGCAGTCACAGTGGGTGCCCATCCTCTCCAGCTGGTGCAGTCTGCCAAACTCCTGGGTGTAACTATAGACAACAAACTTGACTGGAAGGCCCATGTAAATAACACAGTCAAGGCAGCCTCGTACCGTCTCTACATGCTACGACGACTTGGGTCACTTGGGACACCCACGCCAGAGCTGAGGACCATCTACAACGCCTTTATTCTCCCCAAACTAACGGATGCGTCACCAGCCTGGTCGTCTTCTCTCAACTCCACCCAACAACGTCAGCTAGAGAAGGTACAGAAAAGGGCCTGCAGAATCATGCTCGGCGCAGAATACTCCGGCTACACCAACGCTCTCTCCACCCTGGAAATGCCATCCCTCAGTGACCTCCACCACCAAGCACTGGAAAGGTTTGGCCGTGGACTACTGCACCACCCTCGCCATCGCCACCTCCTGCCACCTGCAGCCCCCACCCAACTCGCGCAGTCCGCCACTACAACAAAATTCAGCCCATAAGAGCCCGCACCGATAGATATAAGAACAGCACCATCCCATCTATTGTTAAAATAATAAACAACTCCTGATTTATGTACTGTACAGCCCTGTAAATGTATTCACTGCATATTATATCATTATGTCTAAATCAAATGTAAGTCTGTATATTTTCAGCCACCGGCTGCAACTCTATTAATAAACCGTTTATTATTATTATTATTATTATTATTATTATTATTATTATTACACACACACACACACACACACACTCCGCCTTTTGCTGGTATTAATTCTAATTTTATGACACAAAGAACTCAACTTTCTCATAACCTTAATTACTTATTCACTATCACGTAATGCGTGTGTTGAAGGTGCCATTATAACGTGTACTGTCCGGGTTAGTACCTTCAGCCGAGTGTAGGTGCCGTTATAACGTGTACTGTCCGGGTTAGTACCTTCACCCGAGTGTAGGTGCCGTTATAACGTGTACTGTCCGGGTTAGTACCTTCACCCGAGTGTAGGTGCCGTTATAACGTGTACTGTCCAGGTTAGTACCTTCACCCGAGTGCAGGTGCCGTTATAACGTGTACTGTCCGGGTTAGTACCTTCACCCGAGTGTAGGTGCCGTTATAACGTGTACTGTCGAGTTAGTACCTTCTGCAGGTGTGATTGCCGTTGCTGCGTGTACTGTCCGGGTTGGTACAACTTCACCAAGGTGTAGGTGCCGTTATAACGTGTACTGTCCGGGTTACCTTCACCCCGAGTGTAGGGTACCGTTATAACGTGTGCTGTCCCGGGTTAGTACCTTCACCCGAGTGCAGGTGCCATTATAACGTCATGCTGCTGTCGGGTTGAATACCTTCACAGTGTCTTTAGGATACAACAAGTAACATCTTCTACTACTTCCTCCTACAAAACAATCATTATCACATCAGCCACTATGGGGGAGGACACAGTGTTGAGTGGTGGGGGAGGACACAGTGTTGGTGGTGGGGACACAGTGTTGGTGGTGGGACACAGTGTTGGTGGTGGGGTGGCAGACAGTGTTGGTGGTGGGGCGAGAGACATAGTGTTGAGGGGGGGGTAATTAAGTCCACAGCCTTAGAAACATAGCGTCGATAGGAGGAGTAAGCCCACAGCACATACACAGAGACACAGTGTCGAAGGAGTGAAGTCCACAGCCCAGACAATAAGCAGTGGGGCGGGGAGGGGAGGTCCACACCCCAGACACAGCGTGGTCGTGTGGTATGCCGCTATGTTTCCCCTCTTCAATATGCCCGCGGCGATGAAACTGTTGCACAACTATACTGAAGGTCGAGCGAGAAGCCAACTTTTTCCAGAACTGTGGGAGTGACCTTGACCTCTGACCACAGAACATCTGGGGGGGGGGACGAACGTTTAAAAAATATTTACTATACCTCCACATACGACACTGAAGCTACACGTCATATACTGTACTGTACACATCTTGGAGGAAGGTGAACTACATATTGCATACTGTAGACGTCTTGGGGTGAGGTGAGATAGGAACACTTTATACCATGCGTCCTGTACAGTGTGCTAATTAACGTTTACATTATTCTGATAACATCTGGGAGTCCCTCACGAGTCCCTCACATTGTTATCACGGTAACAAAAGATAAAAATAGATTTCATTATCATTCTTGTATATACTTGAGTCACCTTGAGGAAAATAGAGTACTGGTAGCTACAAGTTTTATGAGATATTTCGTCAAGCCAGACGACCCCCAGAGAGGGACATTAGCTTGTGTACATAACAATGACGACTCTCTCTCTCTCTCTCTCTCTCTGTCATCGTATTGAGCTATTCTACACACTCACTCACTCACTCTGTGTTTGCTTACTTGCATGCATGCAATGTCTGACACACACACACACACATATATGCTTCAACCATTATTGTGTCCACCTTTATTTCACACTCGCTCACTCAGTGCTTGCTTGGTGGAGTGCATGCAGACCTCACCACCAGCAGCCAGCCGGAGCACACAGCGGGTGGTGGTGGACCTGGGAGACCTTCATCCATCACTGGGGGAGACAGGGCCTGAAGCCCTGCCTGGCTCCACCACCTTAAAGAATCTTACTTCACTTATTCCTTGCATGGTCTACATAATATCATCATCATTATCATTATTATTATTATCATCATCATCATCATCATCATAAGGTTAACATCCTCACCAAGACACAGTTCCCCCGGGGGACAGAAGCTCTCCTGTGTTGCACTTTATTGTCACATTACCACAACGAATTAAAGGTGACTGGCCAAGCGGGCCCCACTCCTAAGACAGCCTAATTCTAATGGACCCCAATTTTACGGTGTCTCAGTCCTAAAGGGGCCAGTCCTATAGGGTTCAAGTCCAACCAGGGCCCAGTTTAAATGGGCCCAATGTTAATAATCTGGTCAGGTTTGATTACGTGAGGGTCTATTAGAACTGAGGCCCAATTTGACGTCGACTAAGACAGCTACGAGGAGGAGGAGGAAGTGGGTGAGCACTTGAGCCTATAACAGAAAGACTTGACGGCATACAACACACTATCTCCTGTATAACTAACTCACACGCCTAACGGAGAATATAACAGCCAAGACAAGTGAACTGGGGGAGGTAAGAGTGAAGTGGGGGAGGTAAGAGTGAACTGGGGAGGTAAGGTGAAGTGGGAGGTAAGAGTGAACTGGGGAGGTAAGAGTGAAGTGGGGGAGGTAAGGTGAGTGGGGGAGGTAAGAGTGAGTGGGGAGGTGAGTGAACTGGGGAGGTAAAAGTGAACTGGGAGGTAGGAGTGAACTGGGGAGGTAAGAGTGAGTGGGGAGGTAAGAGTGAGTGGGGGAGGTAAGGTGAACTGGGGGAGGAAGGTGAGTGGGGGTAAGGTGAACTGGGGAGTAAGGTGAAGTGGGGGAGTAAGGTGAACTGGGGAGGTAAGAGTGGGGGAGGTAAGGTGAAAGGGGAGGTAAGGTGAAGTGGGGAGTAAGAGGACTGGGGAGGTAAGGTGAGTGGGGAGGTGAGTGAACTGGGAGGTAAGGAGTGAACTGGGGAGTGGGTGAGTGGGGAGGTAAGGTGGGTGGGAGGTGGGTGAGTGGGAGGTGAGTGGTGGGGGTGGGGTGGACTGGGGAGGGGTGGACTGGGGAGGTGGAGGAACTGGGGAGTGAAGTAGGGAGGTAAGAGTGAACTGGGGGTAGAGTGAACTGGGGAGGTAGGAGTGAACTGGGGGAGGAAGAGTGAACTGAGGGACGTTCCTTGAAGACTACCAACAGCTCAGGACTCCGTGAGTAAATATCCTGCCGGCGTGAACAAGGCTTCACTCCACAGTTTCTTGTAGAGGTTCCTAGAGCATTTTCTTTCGTAACCAAGACACAAGAACGTAACTAACTACCCCACTTTAAGACACATGAGCCCACCTCCACCCCCAAAAAAAAGAAAAGCAAACAAAACATCCCAAATGGCAGCTACAATACTCCCACTTTACCTTAACTAGAACCCTTCTCTTGAAACCTTCCTTGTGAGTGAGTGAGTGAGAGTCGGCACCGAGGTATAAGTCCTGTTTGTGAAGGCGAGCCATATACCGGGCTGGTCTGGCCTCTTGTACCATCAGTTCAGTCATTCATCTCTCGTCTTGTGTAAAGGTAATCGTATTATCCTATGGCCGCACCTAGGAGTCCTCTCGCCTTGTCATCTAATATCTCAGTATAGGATCTGGGTGTAGGATCTGGGTGTAGGATCTCGGTGTAGGATCTGGGTGGGATCTGGGTGTAGGATCTGGGTGTAGGATCTGGGTGTAGGATCTGGGTGTAGGACCTGGGTGTAGGACCTGGGTGTAGGACCTTGGTGTAGGATCTGGGTGTAGGATCTGGGTGTAGGATCTGGGTGTAGGATCTGGGTGTAGGACCTGGTGTAGGATCTGGGTGTAGGACCTTGGTGTAGGATCTGGGTGTAGGATCTGGGTGTAGGATCTGGGTGTAGGACCTTGGTGGGATCTGGTGTGGGACCTCGGTGTAGGACCTCGGTGTGGATCTCAGTGTAGGATAAGGATAATTTTTTAAACACATTCCGAGAAGCGCTCTGCCGATTTTTTGTCACGTAATTCCTTCGTATACAGCTGGGTGACGACACTTAAAATAATGAGGAGCTCTTACTGTGTGGCTGTTATATTTCTTACACAGGGGAAGGAGGGACGGGGAGATGGAGGAAGGAGGACGGGGAGATGGAGGAAGGAGGGACGGGGAGATGGAGGGGGAAGGAGGGACGGGGAGATGGAAGGGAGGAGGGACGGGAGATGGAAGGGAGGAGGGACGGGGAGAAAAGGGAGGGAGGACGGGGAGAAGAGGGAGAGGGAGAGACGGGGAAGAGGGGGGAGGGAGAGAAGGGAGAAAGTAGGAAATAGGGACGGGAGATGGGAGGAAGGAGGAACGGGGGAAGAAAGGAGAGGACGGGAAGAAGAGGGGAGGAGAGACGGGGGAAAGGAAGGAGGAGAGAATGGGAGAAAGTAGGGAAAAGGGACGGGGAGAAAGGAAGAAGGAGACTATAGATAAGTGAATTTCTTAATATATATTTTTAATCTGTTTACACATCAACTATTTACTATTATCATAATCAGAATCTCCACTTGTCAACAACTTCAGCTGTCGAGTTAAACAGTACTGAGAGAGAAGGTAACCGGGCGGTGCTGACGGGTGTCTGTGTGACTGCTACTGCTCGCTACCTACACAACTATCGTGACCGCTTATCTGATAGGACCCACACACACACACACCAACGTTATATATAAAGTATCATTTCAAACTAACAAGAGAACATACCTATTCAAGTTTCCTCAACAGTAATGGCGGGGCGATCCTAATACAAATACCCTTAAGCGAGTCGACAGCGCCTCCATAGTTAGTAACAGAGACACTGAACCATTGGTCTCTTATACCTAACGTTGAGTCACTAACAACCAGCGTTCCCGAAGGAGTAGCTGCCGAGGTGGTGTTATTGTCAGGGCCCTAAAGTTGTGTGTCCGGTGTGGGATCTTAACGCTGATGGTACCCAGAACCACACACACACAACCTGATAAACAAGACCAGTTAACGCCATGACAAATAAAAAATAAAACAAGTAACAATAATCCAGTGTAAATAATAAGGGAAACAGAGAGGAGAGAGAGAGAGAGAGAGAGAGAGAGAGAGAGAGAGAGAGAGAGAGAGAGAGAGAGAGAGAGAGAGAGAGAGAGAGAGAGAGAGAGAGGAGAGAGAGAGAGAGAGAGAGAGAGAGAGAGAGGAGAGGAGAGAGAGAGAGGGAGAGAGAGAGAGAGAGAGAGAGAGAGAGAGAGAGAGAGAGAGAGAGAGAGAGAGAGAGAGAGAGAGAGAGAGAGAGAGAGAGAGAGAGAGAGAGAGAGAGAGAGAGAGAGAGAGAGAGAGAGAGAGAGAGAGAGAGAGAGAGAGAGAGAGAGAGAGAGAGAGAGAGAGAGAGAGAGAGAGAGAGAGAGAGAGAGAGAGAGAGAGAGAGAGAGAGAGAGAGAGAGAGAGAGAGAGGAGAGAGAGAGAGAGAGAGAGAGAGAGAGAGAGAGAGAGAGAGAGAGAGAGGAGAGAGAGAGAGAGAGAGAGAGAGAGAGAGAGAGAGAGAGAGAGAGAGAGAGAGAGAGAGAGAGAGAGAGAGAGAGAGAGAGAGAGAGAGAGAGAGAGAGAGAGAGAGAGAGAGAGAGAGAGAGAGAGAGAGAGAGAGAGAGAGAGAGAGAGAGAGAGAGAGAGAGAGAGAGAGAGAGAGAGAGAGGTGCACGAACAAGCCACCCCCTGCCCACTCACCTGACGAGCTGCTGCAGGTACCCAACACAGGTGAAGGTGATTCCTCCCTCCCTCCCACTCACACAACAGGTACAGTATCTTGATTCTGATACCGCCTCCCTCCCTCCTCCTTTTCCCTCACTCCACATTTTCTCTCTCACGGTGTTGGATGATACCACACGCCTATAATCAAATGGTGAATGTGTCAATTTTATATTGATTTTGTTGTTGTTTAATCCCAGGTTAATTCAGGATGGTCGGGGTCATTAACTAACAGAGGTACAGATTTAACAACGGATGAAGTCTTTACAACAAGTCTATTTACAATCTGTTTGAACATCAGTTAGTTTAAGTTGAGGATGTTAATAGTTTCCATCCGTACTAAATAGTGAGTCATTATCACATCTGAGACTTTGGGTGCCATGTGACTCTTGACAACACCCACACACACACACAAAAGCCACCCAGCCGCAAACACCTACCCACACATCCACCTCCACCCCCCCACCCACACACACAGCTTCTCACAATACAGCAGTACAATTTCTACCTGTAACTTGAGGCAAAATGCACAAGAGTTTCGTCAGCAGTAGAGACGAGACCATGGCGGTATTTCCTGGGGGTGTGTGACAGGACCCTCCCACGACCTGAGGGCTGGAGGCAACCCTTGCAATTTACACCGAACGCATGGACAGCCTCGCCACACTCCCATTACCAGTACATAAATACACAGTTCAACATCACCTAAACATTACACACTAATTCATTTCACCTCACGATTAAACATCCTTAACTGACAGTCTAAACTAATTTAACCTAACCTAACCTAACCTAACCTTAACTGACAATCTAAACTAATTTAACCTAACCTAACTTAATCCAACCTAATCAACGTAACCTAAATAAATTTCACTTAACCTAACCTATTCTGACCTGACCTAACCTAACCAAACGTAACTTAACCTTATTTCACTTAACCTAACCTAATCCAATCTTCAGGTGATCCTCTCAAATGTCAGTCTGCAAAAGTGGGCAAAAGTTCCCCCGTCGACCAAAGCCAACAGACGACCGTAAGTCAGTACAGTAATGATAGAAAGTGTTGGTTATTAAAGTCACCTGAGATATTGTTGTCCATATACGGCGAGTCAGGACTGAGTCACGGACACACGCACGAAAGAAATAACGGACAGACGCACGGACACACAAACGGACGGAAAGGTATAATTTAATCCCTAAGGCGGGGCACCACAAAACCCATCCCATGTTCCTGATATGGTCACTAAACACACCTCTACTCTACAGTTCACTACACTACACTACACTACACTACCTTCATGTTGTGGGAGGACCATGTGTGTGTGTGTGTGTGTGTGTGTGTGTGGTGTGTGTGTGTGTTGACCAACAACACCCCAACAGTGAACCTTAAGACAAGTCCTAAGGAAAAATTCACCTGTGTTGAGAGACGCATCTTCCCCAGCCCAGGTGAGAGTTGGTACAGTATTAAAGCTCCATCTTAAAAAGGCCCACAGGTGACATGACACCTGTGATTCTCGTTCGATAAACATACTATTAAAACACACACACACACACACACACACACACACACACACACACACACACACACACACACACACACACACACACACACACACACACACACACACACACACATTAATTAACTTCTATCTTTACAATTTTATTTAGTCTTTTCCATTTGGGGAGGAATTGCAACTTGGAGGAAGGAATGAGGAGGAAGAAGAGGAGGAGGAGGAGGGGGGAAGAGGAGGTAGGAGAGGAAGGGATGTTTAAAGCTTCATCACTTTCCAGTCTAACAAAAGTTTTTATTCCTCTATAACTTTTCGTCAACATCACCAGACAAAAATTCTCTCGCGCTGCTGAATACAACGACACAATGACTGAACCCTAGAAGCTATACCTGTGAACTATACCGTAGCCAGATGGTACTGAGCTTCTAGCCAGATGGTACTGAGCTTCTAGCCGGATGGTACTGAGCTCAGAGATGGTACTGAGCTCCCAGCCCGATGGTACTGAGTTTAGCCAGATGGTACTGAGCTCCTTACTGTACCACCTGAGAAGACAACCCTTCCCTCTACTCGCCCCCCAAAAAAAAAAAGGTAAAAGGAAGTGGTTGACAACGCGGAGAGGATGTGCAGGGTGTGGTGCTCACCCCTCCCCCAGACACAACCACGGCTGAAGGCACAACAACAATAACAGTGCTCGTCGTGGCTCTTGTTTATGCATGAAGGCACCTGAGCGGAATCTTGTACCGCTACTAATTGTCACATGTTTCATTTTGTTAGAGCGCTCCTCCACACCACACTAACTAGCACCAGCCCTAAGAGCACCTCTCTCTGTACGACACGTTCACGCCTTCCTGGCTGACATTATTCAGCTTAAGAGGTCCGCCGCCCGTCACCCGCCCACCCACAGATCACGTTCTAACATGAGATGATCAAGCTAGAAGCATCATGTGTGTGTGAAGGGTATATGTGTTGACACAGTACTGAGGTGGCAGGTTGATCCAGAGCCGGACCTGAGAGACGTATATGCGTTATTTATCTGGATATACTGATCGTTCTACATACCGGATCACCTGAAGATTAGGCACCCTGTATCACCTGAACATTAGGCACCCTTGATTATTTCACGTGAGGATTTAATGCCCTAACGCTACCCAAAACCCGCCAGGAATTATTAGAGTATTTAATCCACAGGTAAAATATGCTGAGGTGATTAATTTTCAGGTTATCCAGGGTGCCTAATCTTCAGGTGATTAAACAAGTCCTAGTAGCGTTTAGTACCCCCATTAAAACAATAATAAACACGATACACCCCAAAGTTAAATGAGGGAACGCCATGACCAGCTGTTTAAAGTGCCAAGAGTAGGGAGGAGGAGGAGGTTGGCATGTAAATTGGATCCACAGCGAATTAAGGTAAAGGTGTGAGATGTGAGTGGAAGGCGCCTCCCTCCTGTAGACGGTGGGGGGGGGGGTGAGGAGGGGCGGGGTGAAAGGGACCGGTGAGCGAGGGGGAGTCACTACCATAAACATCCTTGGGTAAAAACAAAAGCTAGTGGTAATGGGAGGAGGAAACCCAGCTACTATACATCACGCCTGACATACGGTAAATAAGGTCCCTCAGTCAGTGGCTCAGGGTAACATGCGACGGTACCTGACTTACTGCACCGCGATCACTCCCGGCCAAGACAAAAAACAACAACGTACTATTAAATAAAATTGATAGAGGGAACGAGAAATTGTATGGAT